ACACACACACACACACACACACACACACACACACACACACACACACACACACACACACACACACACACACACACAGACAAACAAAGAAAACAAACAAACAAACACACGCACGTACAGGAACAAAAAAAAAAGAAGAAAAGACTGATTAGCACGCATGTAACATTCTTTGTCGGATGCAGTGCAGCACCAGCTTGTCAGCCAATTATTCAGACTGTCGAGGTCGAAACAAACCCATCATTGCCGTTTCCTTTGAGGAGGGAGGCACTGTAAATGAGAGTCTTCAAGTGGTTGGAAATCGTGATGGCCAGTCATTGCAGAATCCCAGCGTCACACAAGTGCACAATAATGGCGAGCGCGACATCATCACTGTGGCAGGGGAAGGTGAAGTAGGTGAGCGTGGGGGGGAAAGGGAGGGGGTGGCCACGACCTCCGCGCAAGAGGTACAACCAGTGAGAACTACTGACTTGATCCAGAAAGACAGTGAATTACGAACTAAGGGGGAGGCGGTGCGGACCACCACCACTCAAGAAGCCACTGACGACGATGCCTCTGTGCTTCATCGTGATCCTGATCGCGGTGGTGATAAGAAGCGCCCGGTGGAGAATGGCCGGAGAAGCAGCCTTGATGAGGATCTGAATGGTCGTCCAGGAAACGACGAAAAAGGAGAATCATCAGACAACCTTGATAATCAGATGACAGCTGGCAATGATGATGAGCAGCGGGAGCGTGTGGATGTATTTAGCATGAGTGTTGCTGACCGTGCTTCAACGGTTGGGTTACCAATGAGTGTAGATGGTCATCATCATAGCAACAATGGTGTTGTTGGTGGCACTGGCAATGATGATGATAATAATGATAATAATGATAATAATGATAACGATGACGATGAAAAGGAGTATAATCGACATGTCAATCATGGCAGTGAAGCGCAAGAAAAGAAGACTCAACAGGAACCAGTTTTTGAAGAGAACGAGTCACAACCAATCCTGCAGCAAACTGCAGGGGATGGAGGGGGGGAGGTTGAAAAGCGATCTGCGGATGTCGATCCATTCACAGAAGACGCTGACGTCAGCCACGTGGACGGCACCAATCAACCCACAAAGGACGATCTTGACCATTCCGAGCACCATAGCCATGCTGGTGATGAAGGTAGTGACAACAACGGCAATGGCGTGGGTGACGGCGAGAAATTAGAAAGTCGCAGGGATTCGAACAGCGTTGCGGATGGCGGTGACGAAGGCGGCAAGCACCGTGATGAGGATCGTGTTGCCAACAACGACCATCATGGCGATGGTGATGGACATGGAGATTCAACAGAAACCCATCTTCTTCTACCGGATATCAGAGAAACCATAGGAAGGGAAAGTCTGACTAACAATGAGAATACGAGAGATGGTGGAGAAATCAACGTCAACGGAAACGATGACAAAGGAGTGCAGGATTCCATCGCTGATGCAAATGCTGATCCTCGTGGAGATTTGAACCCTGGTGAGCACGAGGAGGATTCAACCGATGGTAAGGGTTTGACTGAACTGGAGCATTCGGACGGGCAACATGATGAAGGCCAAGAAGAAGAAACTGGAGGACAAGCAGGATTAGCAGCAGCAGCAGGAGGAGGAGGAGGAGGAGGAGGAGGAGGAGCAGAAAGTGCAAATGGAGGAGGAGGTGCAGAGGGAGACAAGGCGGTTGCGCGGAGTGGTGGTCGAAGTCAAACTTCGCAATCTGATGATGACTGCAAGGACGTTTGGTCGCTGGCCGATCAGGTCGGCGAAGTTCTTGCGTCTGTTATCGGTCTTGTGGAGAAGCACCTACCTTGGCGTGGGACGATACCGAGGAAAATCGGTTTCGGGGTTCATTCAGGTGCTCTTATGGTGCTGGCTGAGCACAACCCCGGAGTGAAAGGAGCAATGGGAGAGGTGGTGGAGTCTAGCAAGGACTATGGAGAGAAGTTGGACCTGCAAACGTGCGCTGTTGTCGGCAACGGGGGTTCCTTGCTTCACAGTGGTCGCGGATCGACTATCAATCAACATACTGCTGTTTTCAGACTGAATCAAGCGCCGACAGGTCCTTACGCTGAGGATGTCGGAACGAAAACCAACATACGCTTCCTGAACAAGAAGTGGACTTCGCGGTACGGGCGCCGAGATCCAAATACCGACTTCCTCCCCCTTGAAGAGGGGGTAGTGTTGTTGTCCGCAAGAGGGACTGACGACAGTAAGCGCAAACTTGGCTCCAGGTTTCAGGCCCATCAAAAGGGTGCCATTGTTGCCGTGTTAGAGCTTAAGGTGGCCAACGCCACGAGAAACCTCATGCACGAGTACGAGCAGAGGACCGACTGTCTCGGTGGCTGGGGACAAAAGCATCTTTCTTCTTGGCAGTCGGTGAGTTAGGAGATCGATCATCATGACACGAAGGTATCGGTTCCGTCAAATCAATCAATCACTGAGAGTCAACCATTGGTAGGGCTGAGGAGTTTCAGAAGCCTCCTAAGGGTTGTCTGACTGGAGAGAGCGACTGTTTGTCTGGCCGATGCGGGGAAGCGCCTTGCCCATGGATAGTTGGTGAGTAGTGGAGACTGGGTAAAGGGGAGGCATAGGGATGAGGGAAAGAGAAGATTGCTAAGGTGGAAAAGGGGAGAAGGACAGAAGGGAGAGAAGGGGGGAGGGGGGAGGGGGGAAGGGGGAAGGGAGAAGAGTCTAGATCAGACTAGATGGGCCTCAGTTTGAGAGGATAGGAAGGAGAGCGGGTGAGCTGAGTCAAGGGTATTGGCCTTGAGCCAACCGGATGGGTATATACAGTTAGTTAAGGATATATAAGGCAAACCGCCAGTACACCTTGCAGAAAGTGTTTCATCGCCTACTCCAAAAACTTCGCGCCTCGCACCTACTGGACCACAATGGCTGGCAGCGCCAGCCAAAAACAGTGCGCCGCTGGCGGTTTGGCAAAGCTTGGCGCGCAGTGGAGCGCCTCCAGGCCTGGGTGTACTGATGGTGTAAGGATAAGGAGAAGGCAAAGGCATGCTGAGTCAAAGGGATGGATGGGATAGGATTGGGTTTGAACTAAGGAGAGGGTGGGGAGTTAAGTGGCGCTCGCTGGCTTGAGGTGGGGACAGAGGTTGAGCAAAAAGGAGATGCAGGAGCGAGGGTTAGGGCGAGGGTAGTGCCAAGGAAAGATGTGCGTAAGAGGAAGGTAGGTGTACCGGACAGGCCCCACAGGGACTTACGGACAGGCGCCACTGGGACTTACGGACAGGCCCCACTGGGACTTCCTCTAGGTCACTGCCAAAAACTGGCGGTCCAATGGTGAAATCAACACCGGTTTACAGGTGCTGGATTTCTCGAAACACCGTAACTAACTGAATGGGGAGGGAGTTACACATGGGCATTCTGGCTGGCTGTATTGAGCAGCAATTTGAGCTCAAATTCAGAGCAACAAATGCTGTCAGAATGCCTGTGTCACCAAAACAATAAAGTAAATAAATGAATAAAATTTTACATAACAAATAATAAAAAATAATACTATATTAAATAGGGATAATTTGCGAAATACCCCTATAAGTTGAGGTATATGCGAAAATGCCCCTAAAAGAGGTGGGTAGAGCGGAATACCCCTCTGACACAAAAAAAATTGTTTTGCGAAATGCCCCTGGCGTCGGTTGGACCTGCGATCTTTGCAAAATACCCATACCGGGTACTGTCCATCTTTGCGGTACTTGCCAATTTTTTTTTATTTTTTTTTTCTTTGGTGGAAACACAAGCCACTTCTATTCTGGGGGGCATGAAACGGTATTCACCTGTCTGCAGTAGCCGATGCCGATCCCAGGGCTCGATCCTTAGTCATCACCTTACCTGTGTACAGTATTTGTGTCGAAGCCGAGAGTTGAACCCGTGACCTGTGTATTTGTAACAGTCGGTAGACTGTCGTAGGGTCCGTAGGTAGTAGGGGTTTGATCTGTAGACCTGTCGTGTAGGAGTCTTAGCCAGGTCTAGAAGTTGTAGCTGTAGCTTTCCCGAAAGGTCAAGGTCGTAGCTGCTACAGTCCAGAAAGGTCAAGGTCGTAGCTGCTACAGTATCGAAAGGCCAAGTCTACGGCCTTCCGGAAGGTCCGAATAGTGGCCTTTCGAAGTTGCCCATGTTTAGGCTGAGGCAAGTGGGCAAGTGGTGGAGTCTACCCGTGCTGAGTCAGCAGTCCCACTCCCAGTCGGTCCTAGTCCAGTCAAGCAAGTACCGCATGGGACTGTGTGCACTACGGGCATAGGAAAGGGTCAGACCAGCGAGCTACAGAAGTAGAAATCAAGAGGCAGCGCCCAGCCATTCATTCATTCCTGCGTGAGCCATGCGGAAGCGCTGCCACAGCGACTTGTGCGAGGTGGTCCTGCAGTGAGCCCGAGAACGAAGTGGGCAAGAGAGAAGGATCTTAGCCATAGCGATAGGTTAGCAGCGGCCATAGCCGCCACAGCTGTAGGTAGAGTGTAGCAAGTGTGCGTGTATGTGTGTACTACAGAGTATCGCGTGTGGGATATCCAGGGTGATCCTGAGTGTGCGAATACAGAGTTGTGTGGGCGTGGTGTCGCCATTGCCATTGAAGTGAACTTGTATCTGGTCTGTGTTCTCTGTTACAATATCTCCGAGTTTTGAGTGGGCGCTTGTCGCCAGTTTGCTGCGCACCTGTTTGCATGCATGTGAAGTGTGAAAGATAGCGGGTCTGATTGCATAGGTATCGGAGCTGGTACCCGCTATTCCACGCGCGCTGTCGTGTGCCGCAGGGAGCTACGCGCCATAGCCGACGTGACCATCGGAGGAGAAGTCCGCCAAAGGGGACCCGGAGGTTGACGAAGCCGCCTCGCGCACATGCAAAGAAGACCACGACGAAGAGAGAGAGAGAGAGAGAGAGAGAGAGAGAGAGAGAGAGAGAGAGAGAGAGATGAGCGATACAAGTTTGGCTGTCATGTACCTGTGAAGTGTGCTGTGCAGTCCCACAAAGTGAAGAGGCGGCCATAGCCGTGGAGCTCGACCGCAGAGTGACGAAGAGGGTGAAAGAGAGGACAGAGGAGGAGACCGAGAAGGGTGAAGGAAGCCATAGCCGAGGAGGTGAAGGGAGAGACGAAAAAAAAAAAAAAAAAAAAAAGAGAGAGAAAGAGAAGATAACCAGGGTGAAGAGAAAGGAGGCGAGGAAGGAGAAAGGAAAGAGAAGGGTGGCGACAAAGGAGGAGCCGGCCGCCATAGCCGGAGCTGACCGGAGGAGTTGACCGGGCGTTAACCGGGCGTTGACCGGGCGTTGACCGGGCGTTGATCGGGCGTTGACCAAGGCTTGACCGAGGGTTCACTGCAGCGTTGACCAAGCGTTGACCAAGGCGCTGACCAAGACCATTGACCATGACTTTGACCAAGCTGGAGCCGGTATAATCTCGCCAAGCCTTCAGCCTATCCCCTGGCCCTATGGATGTGCACACACCCAGGGGTACTTGCGGAGTCAACTCTGACTGTCTCTTCACACGGGCTGAGTAGGGCTAAAGACTGTGTCTGACGACTCGACTGTCCCGGAGGACACGAACCCTCCCAAGGATCAGAACTGACCGCCGGGCTGCTCAGTGTGGCATGGTAGGCCCAAAATCCGAGCTGTGGGCTGCACAACAGGTCGTCTAAGTCTTGAGAGGACCTGCCGATCTCGTCGTCCTGTCTGCGATGTTAAATAATTCCTGAGGAGTTATGGGGGATCTCTTAAATGCCTCCTGATCAACAACAGGTCCTGTAGTGACATCCTTAGAGTAGGTCTAGGCTAGAGACCCTAGTTGACAGGATCCTGTTCGGATTCTGTAAGTATTTAGATTGAGTCAGTAGGTTTGTCAGTCAGGGGGAGTAGAGTCTAAGTGGTGAGGAGTGGAACCGTTGACGGGTTGTGCACCTAGCACCATGGTTGAGACACGTACTGGGAAGAGTACTGCCCCCCAATCCGAGGCCGAACAGGCCCAGATTGCTGCCATACTGAGAGAGAAAGGAGAAGAAAGAGCTCCTCAAGCAAGCGAAGCTGAAGGCTATAGCAGAGGAGAAGGCGGCGAAGAAGAAGCAGTTAGAAGAAGAGATGTTGAGATTTCAGAAGGAGAAAATAATGATGTTACAGCGGGAGGAGGAAGAGAAAAGGCTGCTGAGGACAAAGCAGCAGCAGAAGAAGAGGAGGAGGTGGAAGAAGAACCCCTAGAGAGAAGGCGTGGGGAAGAAAGAGGAGAGACGAGTGGCACGAAGGGAGAAGACGCGTGGATGGAAAAGAAGATAACTGAGTAGGTAGCTAATTTATCGTTGGGGGAGGATGAGGAGGCACAGCTGTACATGCCGGAGGAGGAAAGAGAAGTGTTTGCCAGGGAGTTGGAAGTGATAGAAGATCCTCTGGAACGCCAAACAACAGAGGACGAAAAGAAGCTAGAGTGGAAGTTACGAATGATGAGGGAGAAGAAGAGGAGGAGGGAGGAAACCAACCGGGTGGCCAGAGAGGTAGAGAGGATTCGCCCCGGCAGGCAAGAGGTGCAGACACAAGCAGAGGTCCTCGCGAAACTAGATAAGATTCTGGGATACCTCGAGGTTCTGAGTGAGGCCTGGCTTGAGGAGCACCAGGCTAATAAGGGTCAAGATGTGACCCTTCATGCCATCCGATCTGGGTTCAGAGAGTTTGCGCGCGACGTGGTAACCCACGTCGAGACCGAAGTCAAGAAGCTAAAAGAAGGCGCAAAGAAGTTCTGTGTCGGGGCCATTGAGAGCGCCAAAGTAGTGGCCACAGCAGAGGCCGCGTCGCGTCCCCGCAAGGAGCCTGTAAAGCTCAAATTTCCTGATTCCTACAACGGGAAGAAGGATGACAATTTCGATAACTGGGAGTCCCATTGTCTGTAGTTAGCGATAGAGATAGCCGCTTTACGAGTCAGAACTGGCAGGAGCTGATGAAAGTCTATGGATCCAAGTTGTTGATGTCGTCTGGTCGTCATCCAGAGACTAACGGTCAGACTGAGCAGATGCACAAAATCCTGCAACAAGTTCTGCGTATGTACATTAGACCCGATCAGATCAACTGGGACGAGATGTTACCCGAGGTAGCCAGTGCGTACAATAACAGCGTGCACTTGTCCACCTGTCGCACTCCCAATAAGCTGCACAAGTCCTTTAGACCGCGCAAACCGTTTGAAGGGCTTAACCGGGATCAGATTCATAGGCTACCGCCCGGTACCAGGGAGTTTGCGATACAGCATGAGAAAGAAATAGCCACTGCTGTTGAGAACCTCAAGAAGGCCCAGCATAGAATGATAGAACAAGCCAATAAGCACCGTCGCCCATCACAGTTCCAAGTAGGCGACTTAGTCTGGGTCAAGTCCAAAGAGTTCGCTCCTGAGGAGAACATCTCGCAGAAGTTACTACCCGCGTATAGAGGACCGTGGCCAGTTCTAGAAGTCAAGGGCGGAGAGGATGGACCGTCCTACACCATAGAGATCCCAGCACACCTCCACACCTACCCTGTATTTCATGCATCAAAGTTGCTGCCGTGTGTCCCGAGTCAACAGTTTCCATCTAGGAGATCCATGATCCCCCCAGTCATGGACGAAAGATACAACATTGACGACATTGTAGGTGAAGACGTGTTCAGAACAGGGGGTAGCACAAGCGGTTATCGGGTAGCTGAAAATTCAGGAATGAAAATTCTGAAGTGAGAGTTTTGGGCAGTCTGAAAATCCTGAATGGTCCTGAAGTGGTGAAAGGTCCAAAGACCCTGAAAACCACCTGTTTAGGCAGGCTGCAT